TAAATCTTTTGTCGGCCCTTGAAATGCCGATATAATAAGAGCACAAGCTCGTTCAGCTGAATAAACCTTTCATGAAATTAAATTAGAAGCTCTGAGCAGTAAAAATTGAAAAATCGCAGAAAAGTTTCAAATTTAACTCAGTTTTAAAAAAGTTTAACTGTTTCAAAAAGAAATCAGAAAATATCTAACAGAGACGCATGATCGACTGACAACAACTTTTTATCTGCTCCGAATCAAAAACGCTCGCTAATGGTAACCGTGATTTTTTTTACGTCTCAAACTTCAAAAACCTGTATTAAGATTGCAGTGCGAAAACAACGAACTTAACTTTAATGGTCGGTTCAATAGCTGAATGTTTTCGAATCTTTGATGAAGGCCTTTAGTTCAGTTGTTTTCCTTAAAACCGCCTATCGACATCTCGTGTGATATGTCTTGGAAATTATTATTTTCAGTCATGATTCGAAATGCAATTTTTTTTAATTTGCCAAGAAATGGTTTAGTGAATTAAAAAGAACAAACCAGCTATCAAATTTGAAGGTTTTGAAAAAATCTTTCTCATTGAGTTAATATCTCAGATTTTGTCAATTTTAAATGCCGAACTACAAACTGCGTGTATCCGGCATTGCAGATAGTGGTAGGGAAATCGTGAAATCGTTAGATCGTGTGTTCGATCCCATGCCATGGCATGATAGTGTGTTTGAATGAGCTCTCACTTGACCTCTAGCTTCAGTTCTACCACAACCCGACCAAATTTTGTAGCACGTGAAAGTTCTAGACGCAAAACGAAAGGCCTTGAGTCGCAAAATGAGCTTCGATCAGCAAAATAACATAGACTGGAATGTAGGGAGATAATACTAAGGGACTATCCTCGGCAGGACTGTTGAGGCCTACTGATAGATCTTCTGCGATTCCTAGGAATTACATTATTTTTATTATATCGGCGTCCTTCCAAACTTGATCATTTTTTTGCAAGCTATCTTTAAAAATTGTATTCATTTAGTCGTCAGCAAAATTGATCTTTAATTTTGATTCCCCCTTCTGTTATACAGACAAAATAAATTAAGCTCCTGGAAACTTTATCGACATGGGAAAACACAAGCAAGCGAAGCATATTAAACTTGTGAATTATTTCTCCTCGACAATATTTGTTGTTTGTCACTTTTTTGATAATCCTAAAACAATTGGCAAAATTTAATTGTAACATTTTTCATTTTCCTGCGAACCCTGGAAATTGGATTCACGTTTAAACTAAGATCACACTCAGTATTTTCTATCAGTTTTACTTTTTGAGAGCGTAATTTGGTTTTTGTTTTGCAAATAAACTGAAAATTCAGCTGAATCAAAATGATTTGCCAAAATGTACCATTGTGAGTCAACTAATTTCAATCTTCTCATAAAGAAAGCAACACTACAAAAACGAAAAAAGTGTTTATACCCCGAGCTTCAGTTTATTTGCAACTGTATCTTTTTTTCAATTTTTTTATTGTTTCGACTTTTGATACGAAAGTAACGGAATATTTGTGCTCGGGTAGGTTTTTTGTTCTTCAGACAAATTTCGACTTTTTAACTAGCCATTTTTGACGCAATTTTTAAAAATCATTTAAAATGTATAATTGTCCTGAGCTTAAATTTGAAAAGATATTTCACCTGTGATCATTTTTGGTACAGTTATGGGGGTTTATAGATTGTCAATTTGGGACAATTAACGCGCGATTTATTTCGCGCTATAAACGCGTAAGCGGAAATTTAATCGGTCTTAGAAATCAATCCAAATTGGTTGAAAGAAGCTTATTTGCCATAATTGATTTGTTACAAGGGGCAAAATTATCCTTTTTTTCTTATTATGGCGTGTGGGGGGATGATTTTTATTTAAAAAAAATTCAAATTAAAAAAAAAATCAACTGCTCCATAAACCCTAAAAGGCAGTCGGAACATTCAGGGCTTCGCCTGATACGAGCAGTCTTGTTCATATTTTTACTTTTACCTATCACAGATTTTGTCTTGGCATACTGACAAACTGACCTATCTATCTGACTTAAAACGTAATATTGGCATGCAGACTTATAACTCATCTATCTGATTCATTGATTTCTGTTCTTTGAGTAAAAAAGACGAGCAAGCACAGCCGGTTGAAGTAAAAGTAGCCTGGAATGGTCCAACCACGCTCATTTTCGACCATTTGTTTTAAATTGAAAATATTTCTTTGATTTTCGCCCTTGATTTTCATATTTCCAATAGAGACTTAATTGTTCCATGTGCCACGGAATCAAAAATATACTGGCTGAAAAACTGTAATATACGGTTTAGCCAATGCTGTAGACTAGTTGCTGAAAACAATTTAACTGATGTTTACCTATCAATATGTGTTTCCAATTCGCAGCCATAGAAGTTTCAAAAATATTAGAGATTTTTTGTTGCTCTTGATATTGGCGATGAGGAAGTTAATTCGGGGTATTTGTTTGTCCATTTCTCGATTTTGTACAGTTCTGACGGGCGACTTTGAATACCACTGATGAGCAAAAAATTTGTTCTGCAGGTCAGAGAATGGCATCACGAAACTTGCCTGTTTAACGAGTTTCATAAAAATAAAAGTAGTAGCGTCGATTGTTTTACTTGCATCTTTTTTTGCTTAGTTTTTTTTCGACCATAATAAAAACGACAGATTATTTTTTATTTCAAAAACAACTAGCCGGAACACTGTATTGCCCAAAAGTGCTCCACAAGCAGGAGAAACTGAGGAATCGGCAATGAAATTGCACAATCCAGATTATTTCGTGGAATTTACAAACAACCAAGACTGCTCATATCAGGGCGAAGCCTTGAATGTTCCCACTGGCTTTTAAGATCTGAGGAGCAGTAATAACACACTAGCAGTTTTTAGTCCCCATTAACAGTAGCTAAAATAGAAATGAACGTAAGAAACAAATAATTTTATCTCTTGCAAACAATACATAATGAGCCAAATCAAATGCGGATTAACAGCGAAATCGCATAACGCTAATCATGGAGAAATGACAAAAAAAAACAAGAAGCAAAGAACGGCAAAGAACCTTCTGCCATTAACAGGGCACTCAATCGACAGAAAACGGTTGACAGGATTTTTTTATCACTAATGCTTGACAGGCACTTCGGACTGCTGAAGCAAAAGGAAGATTTTTGTCTATTCGGTAGCGGGATTGAAGATACTCAGCAAGTCCTTATTTTTCAAGATCGCGATAATGTAAATGCCCTTCAACTGAACACAGATCTTTGGCTTTGTGAGGAAACATTTAGAAATTTGTGATGAAACATTCAAAACTTTTACCAACTGTATACCGTTCATATACAGATAACTGGCTTTTCCCCGCCCTAAGTCTACGCTCTTTTCCTCATAAAACGTGAGCACACTAACAAAAAATTCCTGAACGGTCGATCAGAGATATCTCACATTTCAGAGTCACAACGGATTCTAATCGACTTCGAACGAGCAGCGCTCAACGCTTGCTTGGTTGAATTTCCTGCAGCCCAAGCATTCGTAAAAAGAAGTGCAATCAGTTATAGTTCGCAGGGCGCCATGTTGTACAGGTTTTATTTGGTTTTTAGATTGAAGAACTGCATGTGACCAAACTACATTCGAGGACAGGTCTTTGTTGGTTTGTGCGTATTAAGTCTCGCATTCCCCAAAATTTACAGTTCGCGTGAATGCTGGTTACTATAATCAAAAATACTAAGCAAGCAAGCTTTTAAAGCGTGGCAGAAATGTCAAACACCATCGCGAGATTGAACCATTTGCCTGGCTATGATCCTTTTTAAGATTCTGTAATCTTAAGAAAGAATTTGAACCTGTTATTGTTTGACAGACTAAACATTTAAATACTCGATTGATCCAGAGTCAAGGTTTTTTAGTTTTTGTCACTAACTTTGTTTAATTCAAACTTATTATTAATATTACTGACAACCCTAGGAACTTTGAATTTTAAACGCATGTTTTTTCTTTTTAGGCTATCAATAAGCGAATAACAGAACTGATATGATACTGCGATGGAATAATTTCTTTTGTATTACGAACTTTGGACCCAAAAAATGATACTTTTTATATAGGAAAAACTATTTTGATTGATTTACTGCGGTCTCCTAAAACACTGAACACTTTGGCACATTTTACGTCATCCATTTTGGCTTATCAACCTTACAATTCTGATAGGAAAACTTCTAAAACTGCCCAAAACCTTGTTCACTGTCTGTTTGATTTTTTTTTCAGTTTGCCCACAACGCAAAAATTATGGCAAAAAAGGCCATTATAGTGGTTTAGGACCTCGGAACAGTTTTTAGCCCGACGTATTAAAGTGTCAAAATTTTCATCGAAAATTTACCCTCCTGTCATAAAAAAACCCTAGCATGAAGTGTTTGACAACTATCTCGCTGCAAATGGTCATCCTTAGAATAGTTTAGAACATTTGTTTGCCGACGATATCCAGACAATTTGTTCACACCTCATTTACAAATTACCCGTACGGTATGTTTTCACCTCAAATTTCGAGTCTCCTGTGGACATCTGATGTCAACTTTCAATTGGCTTTAAGCTATTTCGTTTCATTGTTCCGCCGTTCAAAAAAGTGACAGAAAGTTTGATCTCGGGGTGAATTTTTTATCCATTCAAATTAACATTATTTGACTGCATTTATATTATCATGCGAAAGGTAATGTTGTTTTGAGCTCAAATTTAAACCCACTTTTCCTAAAGTTATAGGGGTTTAACTATTGTCATTTTAGGACAATTAACGCACGATCTATTTCGTGCTATCAAAGTTCAAGCGGAGATTTTGTACGTTTTAGAAATTGCTCCAAATTGAATTGAGGCAAGCGCTACTCCATAGACCTCAAAAGGAAGTCTGGATCTTAAAGGCCTTGCACTGATACGATCGGTCTTGTTTTACTTATGCTGCTAAATTATCAAAACCGATAGATACATCAAATAAACATTTATTTCCAAATCAGATCTTTTTTCTTGTTTTGAAGAGTTTATCATAAAAATTGAATTCGATCAAAGACAACCATAAATTGTAGCGGCGAGCGGCAGCTGAAACATTTATTATTAAATTCATTGATACAAAATTTACATGGAAAGATATTTCTCTATTTATTAAATTGTGATAATAAACAAAAACAATATTATGCTTATTGGACAATTTGTAATATTCATCCTGATTGATTAATAACTGGAGTATTTCAGGAGTTGTTTGAAGTAGTCTTTTCATTCCGTTGTTTTTTCTAAGTTCGGTTGTTTTTTCATGAGGGTGTACGCGTATAGAGAAACTGGCAGGGTGATTGATTAAATTCTTTTCATTCCATCTGCTCGTCTAACACTAGACACCAAATGAGGTGCTGCACCGTCCGTCATTAAACTCGAGAAATAAAAACAAAACAAAACAGACGCGACAGCATTCTCCAGGTTTCATCCAAAAAATTAGTAATTTGTTCAATTGTTTCAAGGAAAAGGTTGACAGGAAAAAACGAAAACATCTAGCATATCAAAGACATTGGGTTGCATAACTGGGTCGAGTTGAAAATGATAGAAATACATAGATAGATTAGAATAGGAGAGATAATAACATCTCTTTTGTTGCTCATCTAAACACTCTTCTCACTATTTATTGAGATTGGGTCAGGTCAAGTTTGTGTAGGTAAAAAAGAAACATTTAATAACGACGGCCACGAGTTTTTCCCAGTTTCCTTCATTGGCAGAATAGAAGCTAGGAGTAGCTTAAGACACCCGACTGATGCGAGGAGAGGAGAAGCCTGCCCCCTTAACAGCTGCTGGCTCAGTCTCCCGCCCGCCCGCCCGCCGGGTGAAGATAGAATCAAATCAATCGGGGTGAACATTAAGTGATCATATAAAAATAAAGGAGCAAAGCAAAGTAAAAAACAAACGCACCTCCATGTATTCTAAAAGCAACCGTCTCATAAAATGTACTCTGCAGATTTGAGGACTAATACCTCATCGGAGCTGCAAATCAAAATAATTCCGACAAAAACGTCCGTTTTAATGGTAAGATGTTCTAGTTGGGAGAAAGGAGCGAACTAGGCCCATAAAATGGCATCCCTTACTATGCCTGAAGACTTTGTTGTTTCACGCAATACTAGCCTCTAGGTTGACTTCTTATCTTTCAAGCAGCGATACCGTGTGAGGTGGTACTACGCTATAACAACGTCGTCCAACATAGGCGATGTACGCTAATCCGCAAATAATGACTCCCTCCTCAAATGATCTCGCCACGCAATCAAGGACGTTGACGGGCTTCACTTCATTTTACTGCTGCAATTCCCTTCAACGCGTTTTCCTCGCTCAACTTAATTTATCATATTTTTCAAACGAGCCAAGCTTTTATTTACAAGTAATAAACGATTAATTAAGCTTTCCGATGTGAATTTGAATGCATTCAATTGGATAATTTATATTCTGTATATATTAAGGACAGCCGAGCCACAGTTTTTTTACTAACTAAAACATTAAGATGAACAAAGAAAAGGTCATTTCCAATATCTGTTGTTTTCGTTGTGCGCGAAATAATCAATGTAACTGAAGAGTGACTTCCAGGGGGAAATACGTATGAGCCATGAAACTGAATTGTTGCGAAGAGCACAAAAATTGGAATGAGAATGTTTGATTTCGTGAATTCAGTTTGAAATAAAAGCAACCCGAAAAAAGTAGAATAAGTTGCCCAGCTATAGAGAAAAGCTAAACAAGCTAATAATTTTCTTCGAAATAGGAAATTTAAATAAGGAAGAAATTAGCGCTTGCTGTCGCCACCAGGTTCCATCAGCGACTGCTTTGTAAAAATGGTAAGAGATAATAAGCTGTTTCCTATTCCTGCAATTGGGGAAACAAGGGATCGAAAACTAATCAACGCCACTTTTGATGCCTGAAACAAACAGAGAACTAACTAGAAGCAATGTATTGCGCCTTGTATTTTGGCCTTCGTGTAATTTAGTCTGAAAAACGGAAAATTTCAGATCAGTTTTTTGATCACCTAATCCGAAACCACACCTGACCCAGGGTTTTTCTTTGAGGTAAAGAAAATAATCCATTAGGAAAAGACCGAAAAAAAAACGAATCCTTAGTTCCTTTTTAACTCTTTAGAACGGTCGGAACAATAAAAATACACAAAATCTACATTTAAAAAAAGCAAAAACAAACAGAGCCAACAGACAGTTGGAAACCAGTAAATAAACGCAAGTAAATAGAAAAAATGCTGACTGTTTTTTGAAACAATCTCAACTTTCGAAAAAAAGATAAGATGGCCTTAAGCTCTTTGAATTTCTTGAAACAATTAGAGAAAACTAGATCAACAAGTAAAATTTGTATTTGGCTGGAAACTTTGATAATTAAAATCCATTTTCGAAGTCGATCATGGTTTTTTGCGACTTTTACACTTTTGCTGTTCAATAGTGGAGTTTGCATTTCTTGTAACAAAGGAAATTGACTGATAGAAAACAAAAAGCAAACGAAAAAATAATTTTGAGCCTGAATGAGTTTTAGACTTCAGCTGAAAAAACAAATTTCATCAAGACCTACTATAGAGTCTGAACTACGTTCATCGACTCTTACTTAAACCTACTAATTGTAGCCAACAAACAATTGACAGGGAGGTGAAGTGCTTTTTCGCACCCTCAGCGTTATCATACTACACAAATGTAGCATTGCAAGCCGGCGTACAGAAAATTAGACGCAAGCCATTACGCCGATAAAAAAGTTAAAACTTCTACAAAATTTTAATAGGTTTACCTCGAAAAACGTTCAATTTGAGGCGAAACAAGTTGAGAAACACAACCTCTAGCGTTAATTAGGCATTCAGAAAAACTTCTAAAGCGGCCATTAAACCGACAATACTCGGGCAGACGCCAGTTAGGCAAAATTAAGATAATTGCCATAAAAACCTTTGTAAGTAAAAGCAACTCGAAGCCCAGTCCTTGGCCAACGGACATGAAAAAAAGGCTAATTTTAATCAAACGCAATATTAGGTGACTACCACGATATAACACTTTTGAGCATAAAAGGAAAACAAAATTATGCTAAATCAGGGTTGGTAAATTTACAAATTGCAGGATTCCGCTGATCCCAGAAACATCATCGTTGTGGCAACTGAGCCGGCAACAATTAGGCTGAACAAAAAAATGCCAAATTTTTTGATACCATACCGAAACTTTTCGAGTTTGCAATAAGAAACCTGTCCTGGCCGGATTCGAACTCTGATTGCTGTCGGCCCAGTGATTCACGTCTTACCGCCAGACCACGCGTCCCAGAGAAGACGAAGAATTTGAATTTAAAAGATTTACAAGGAGGCGAAGCTGCGCTCTGCAAAAACCGGAAAAAAACGGTCAAAATTAGCTCAAGCTGACTGAAGAAAGAACAGGTAGAAAATAAACTTCGTAAAATTAAACTTTTGTGTACCGGAATCACATCCCGCCCGGAGATGGTGAGTCTCTTGTTCTCGCATTAAGAAGTAGTAGCCAACAAAAAATCCGATGAAACATGCTATTATATAGCCGTATCGGAATTTAAACTACCGCGATAACTCTCGAAGTAGTTTTTCAGCTGACCTAGATTGTCTTCTTCCAAAGTAAAAACCTAGCGAAAGTGAGGCTTCATACCACTTGCGATACAAAAATGAACGACGTGATTCAAATCAAATACGAAAAATTGTTTGTCAATAAAAAATCAAAATTATAAAAAACAGAAGCTAAGAGTATCAGGAACAAACTACATGCAGTATTAGACTAAATAAGGAGCTTTCAAAATGCTAGAAAGAAGCAAAATTTTCGAACAAAGGTCCTTTCTGCAGAACAAGGCCGGCAAAAATTAGCAGACATATCGGTATCTAAACTTTTCAGTTTCCAAAAAAAAAACAGATCTCGACTGGTTACGCAATCCTGACTTTGTCGTCCTAAGCACTTGGAAGTAAACTGATATTTCAAAACAAGTCGGGCTACGGGACTTAAGCCAACAAAAATAAACAGACGAACGATATGGTCCGAAAAAAAGCGGGTCGCGTTCGGATTCAAACTACAACTTTTTGCCGTCTCAAGCAGTTGTGTTAACTCTAAGCAAAATGCGCTGGATGATTGATTGACTTGGCATTTATAATTATCGAGCGGTAAAAAAGCCAAAAAAACATAAAGAAAACCTTCAAGTCGAAAAAAACTCTAAAACAGAACATTTAAAGTCTCCTTATCGTAAGAACGCAAACAAAAACACAGTTTTCGGTTATCGAACGGGGCAAACGAAGTCGCTACAACATAAGCCGAAACCTTTTGAGCCAAAAAAAAACAGAAAATGAAATGAGATTTAACATCTAGCGTAGATTAAAATTACAACCAGCATAAAAAGCAAATTTCAATTAGGCCGAATATAAAAAAGCTGACATGCTCAAAATATTTCTGTTGCAACAGAAAGGCACAGTAGATGAATGAGTCTAGGAGATGAGTCCTGCGAACAAAGTTAATTACCGTAAAAAAGTCTTGTACCCGACTGAAATACCTTGGTTTATCGCAAGGGTTATCACAAATCAGTTTAGAGCTCATTCAAGGTGCTTTAATGTTGTAAAAAAAAACAAACGATTGGCGAAAATGTCTTGACCATTGAGCCATATGCCCGTGCTGTTTTCCAAACAAAAGCCAACAATAAAGCGGATACTGAGCCGCAGCTTATGCTTGAAGAGTCAGTAGTTGAAAAAGAGTGAGCTCGTGGTATAACTCGTGATATTGCTCATAAAGCAGCGCGAAACGATGCAGCTAATGTTTTAAATGTATCCAACGGGACGATCAGCAGTACAGTAACACTGAGCAACAGTTGTATAGGACTAGGTCGCTCGCGAAAGTTAAGTTCTTACTTGTTTTAGGGGATAGTTATGGTGAAAGATTTCAGATAGATGTGTTGTATGAACATCTCAACGTTTAGTCTTCTTTGTGTGCCTTCTTTATAATAAAGCAGATGATGCATTGCTGTTTTCGAGTTGTGCTGATGTTTTTTGTTGGATGGTTATTCAGATAGCGTTTCCATTTCATTTATTGTCTTCTTCTTTTATTGACGTCCTCGTCTTGATCCCATTAGCTTTTTGAGGTCAGTAGGGTTTGTTCCCTCCCGCGGCTGAGTTGTTTAGGTTGTTCGAATCTTTCCTGGGCGGCATCCGCTCGTTGACCTTGTCTAACTCTTTCGCCTCCTCAAAGCCCGCAATTTTCCGAGTTGGATCAAATCCAATTAACGCTGAAATCAATCAACATTCGATTTTCTAACTTCAAATTAAAGGCGCCAGTTGAGCTGAAAAAGCTATTTAAATGCCATAGAATGAGAAAAATAAACAGATCATGAAAAGCAATAACATGTTCATCAGCTTTTATTAATTGTTCATCACTTGACTTTTCTCATCCTATGATCCTCAATAGCTCCTCCACGCGCCCAGCTTCCAAGCGTCCTTTCAAAATACATAGTTGCACGCCGCAAAAACAGAGGGGTGTGATTATGATACTAAAAAGCGTGCAAAGTACAAACAAGTCATATAATGATTATATCGACTAAAAAATATCAAACCAAATTGCATTGGATGACAATCAACATGCAGCATTCCTACTTTAGAACAAATGCTTTTCTGCCTTTCAAAATGGAAATTTGACTTAATTTTGAATAAATTAGTTCAATATTTTAGTTTGCTCAGTTAGTTTGTCATTAGTGAAAAGGGGTTTAGCAAACTGAAATGGGTTAATCGTGCACAATCAGTATGCAAAAATGACAAAATTGTAATTTAGACAATGAGTTTTCTCAAATTAATTCCAACTGAAGCAGTAGTTAACTTAGCAACCGCTCCTCAATTCCAAGAACTTCTAGTTCGTGTATTGCTATTCCAAAATCAATCGGGTAAAACACAGCAGTGATCAGTAGACTTAGTAGCACTGAATTTCAAACAGATTCACTAAGAGTTTCAACAAGTTTTTTTTCTTCAAATTAATCACATTTTTAATCTCGCCAGGTAGGCTCCCTTCAACAAGAACATCAACAAAAACCCATATATGATACCAGTACCACAACCACAACTAGACCACTCAATCCGACGTCCGCAGCTGAACTTTTAACTCAAACTGATAATTGTCGTAGTTCATAAGTGGTATGTCGTGTTAAACCAGTAATTAATTAATTTAGCCAACAGAAAGTTGGAAAAGCCTTAATAAACTCACTCAGGCAAAAAAACTTAATGAATTTTTCTAAATTTCTAGTCTACAATAAATTACACCATGTCAACTTTTTTGATTTAAAGAATTATGACATTTAATCAAATTAATCCCTAATGAACGATCTTAACGACCGCTGATCTTAAGAATAAAATGCACCAAAGCAACAAAATCATTGACTTTTTTTGGTGCAAATTCTATTTTTGTTGTTGAAGGGCGTAATAGTAGTTCCACTTAAAAATTTAAATTTAAAATTTAGCTTCAAAAAAGGGCTACAAAAAACTTTTCGAAGTCGAAAAAAGAGAGTCAACAAACTTTCACTTTTCCTGGAAAAACCAAAAGAGCGAAAATTCACTTAGTTAATTGGCCTTAAATTATTATTATTGTTTTGATTATTAATTAAAATCAGAAAAGAGCAGAGAAATTGCATGACGCGACTCAACTTAACGGTCAGTGGCACAGACTGTCCGAGCTCCTCATTTGGAGAGCTGCCTTTCTACCTCCTATTTTGAATTCATTACACATACTAGCATGTCAGCCTATGATTGTTCTGACAAATATAACATCCGAATCGAACAGCCGAAAAAATCATAACAGTCGATCAATTGTGCCGAATCATAACAGCCGCGAAGCTGTTTGAGCGCGCAGATACTTCAAGTAATGGCAGAAACACCAAAAAAAGAGATTCGTTCTTATATTACAACACTTGAGTTTTCAATATCATATTGTAATGGCAATTTCAATTTGTTCTTGTTTCAGTTTTTCAAAGATTTCAACTAAAAAAATGCAAGTTGGATTTGATCATTCTGTGCCAAAGATCAAATCCAACCGTGAACTTTAGTACCGCTAGCATATGGCCAAACAAAAACGAAGACTTTAGTGGGAAATAAGTTTAATTGACGCTTCGGTGATGAATTTGGTTGTCGATGCAGGAATGATTCGTTTCAGCTGTGCTATAAACATTCAACTATAGCTTCTTATTGCATTCCCAGTGATATAACATGAAGTGATGAAAGGATAGGAACCAATTCGGTTCCGATTTTCAATACTGAGCGAAGTTTTGGGTTTACCAGGGTGTGCACAGGCAGTAATTTATGAAAAAGACTAGCGACCTTTTTTTAGGGCAGCCATTTTGAAGTTTTGGAGCTCTGCCGAAACCAGAATGACAATTTGAATGTGACAGCGAAAATGTTGTTTTGAGTAGGAACTTTCTAGAAGTTTTTCTTCGACGTGTGCTCCCCTCTCAAAATTAGTGTATTTGGTACGAAAGGCGCCTTTCGAAAATTCTATTTCAGAACTGGTTGTCGTAAAATAGTACCATAGGGGGAAACCTTTGGAAAAATTTGGATTCTGAGTCCGCTAGAGAGTGTAACGTACTTTTTCGTAAACCAATACCATTAGAATCAAACCTTTTGATTGCATAAAACTTATTAACTGTCATTCCTGCAGTCAATTTCTATTTACCAGTAACGAAATGCTGCCAATTTTTCAAATACAACTCAAAAGCCTGGTTTGAGGATTAATGCCTTACAAGACATTCGCATTTATTGGAGGCTCAGTCTAGAATGAGATATATTCACTACCCACAAGGTATCTTCTGTGTATTATTTTACGATAACCATTTTGGCCTACTAACTTTTAAGCCGCTTATATAAACTAAATTCAAGAATAAATCATAAATCCCGTGCCATAAATGCAAATGATTGTTCAAACACTTCGCAAAATTGGATCTTTTTGTTTAGGAGAGTTGAAAAAATCAATTTTGTCGGCATATAAAAAAGAACATAGCCAACAGACAGTCACTTTTTTCTGTTTACTTGCGTTCATTGACTCTTTTCCAACTGTTTTTCGAAAATATTTCTACTTTCAAATTTCAAAGAAAAAAATAAATGGTCTTAAAGCTCTTTAAATTTCTGGAACCATTTCTGATTGACACTTTTTTGTTAAAAGTAACTCAATTTGAGAAAACTGGATCAATAAGTAAACTTTTTATTTCGCTGGGAGATCTGATAATTAAATTCCACTTTTCGAACTTAGAAGTCGATCACGTTTTTTGTGACCTTTACACTTTTGCTGTTCGATAGTGGAGTTTGCCTTCCTTTTAACAAAGGAAATGAACTAACTTGAAAAGAAATCAAAAGTCAGACCGCGAAAAGTAAACTTGAGCCTGAACAAATTAAGAATTTTCCTGGAAAAAAAATCGCGACTTAAATAGAAGTCTGAACTACGTTCATCGAATCTTACAAACAGGCTTGAAAATACGTTCATCATCGACCGTCCCGGCAAAAACCTAAATCTTCCCCTGTTAAAAAAAAACTCGAATTCTTTTTAACTCGAATTCTTTTGAAATGGCAACTTTATGTTCTTAAGTTTGAAACCGAATCGTCGTTGATGTATTCAGCCAATTAAATTTTCAAGCAACACTCGAGCAAACTTGGAAGCCTCGCGGTTTGAAACAATGACATTGCAGTTGCATCATCATTTATCATCATGTCATGGCATTAGAGTTGGTTGGATGGTAAGCATGGCTCAATTCAATTAAATTCAGGTCATCGAGAAAAGAAATTAGAAGAGAGTCAAAGTTGAGAAGAAGCACAGAGCATTTCAATTAGCAGTGGCAAACGAACGCCCTAGTCAAAACAACACCACCCAAGTATAACAGAAATAAAGAAAGCTGCAAAAATACGAAACTTCATTTCTAACTGCATGCAAGCTCATTTTTGAAAATTTTTCCCGCAAATAGTTCAGAGTTTTAACTTTTAGCAACTTCCTTCATTTTTGCTAATTTCGGACCTATTTCTAACTCAGTTTTTTTTCAATTCGGGACGTTGAATGCTCAATAATTTTCCCATTTTTCGATGCTTCTGAAGCGGTAATGAAGTTTTGCCTAGGAAAAGGTGTTTTAGGATTTTTTTGGATTGTTCAGACACAAAATTTTCGCAGTTAAATCCATAGTGAGTATCAAAATTAAACACTCAGCACAATCAAACCCAGATCTTCGCGATCCTTAAAAATTCAATTTCCTACGCGCTTCTTAGTTATATTGATAGTTAAGCCAGGCATTATTATATCTGTTTTAGGGCTGGTCTGATAAAAACTGATTGTCCTCTTTGACACCAAGAGAGAGAGAGAGAGGCCACGCGTAGTGTGGGGCTCCTAAGAAAACAGGATTTATCTGTTGAAACGAAAAAAGAAAATTTATATTTCAATCAACAACCGAAAAAAAACAGAGTTAGAAACGCTACCCGAAACACCAGCATCTTCATTACTGAAGAAATTAGCGGAGCGCAATCATTTGCAAAATTATCTTCAAAAATCAAGAAGTGGTTTTTAGATGCCTGTATCCTCAAGCACCTTAGCATTACATACATATGTACGTCCAACACTGCAGAATCACGATTCACTTTCCAACACCTCGAATTCCAAAAAAGCAATAGACTACACTTGCATTTGAAAATTCACAGCTTTATTGTAGAACTTAGATTATTTCATTGGTTCCTATCAAAATTTTCATACAGTTAGCCACCTCGCTATCTTCAGTTGACAATTTCTGAATTCAGGCATGAAATGGTTTTATTATGAGTTTGAATGGTGGTGGCGGTGATGATTTTGCGCTCGGACGTATTTTATAATATGGTAGGGATCTCTTTAACTACATCCTCCCTCGGGTACCTATAGTAACGAATATCCCCCCCCCCCCCCCCCATAAAAAATAAGCATGTGAGATTATATTCCTAGAAACGAATCTCCTCTCCCCCTTTAGCAAAAGGGGGATATAGTTAAAGAGTTCCTATGGTAATAAAAAGATAAGGGTCCTTGGGTTATACAGCCCAAACTAGACATAAAAATCATTCCAACCACATCATTAAAAATCTAGCTCTTCAACCCTCGTCACCCCACTCCCAACAGTGTCAAGAGCAATTTTATGCTGTACCCATTGGTTTCACTAGAAGTTTTTGTAATTGGGTAAATAACCCACAAGCCAATTTGACGACAAATGGACAACTTAAACTGAATTGAAAATATAAAATGAGAACCAGTTGCTGAGCACTTAAAATGTTTCTACTATGATTTCTAGAGAAATTCAACTTCGAAGGAAAAATTGAAGCTTAAATTTTTCTGATTTAGTTTCTGTTTAGTAAGGAGCGATTAGCTAAGGCGGGTGCCGGACATAAAGCCGATGGGACTTCAAGCCGAATCGTAGAAGAAGGACTTCAAGCCGAACAATTTGACAAAGAGTCAAGAAATATGATTAATAAGAAAACTGTTTTAAAGCATTTCTGAATTTCATGAGCTTTCTTTATAAGTTATTGGCTTTTTCTTAAATATGAGCCTCTAATTGATCTTTAGGAATAAAATCCGGCTGACCTATCTGTTGTTACGAAGAACGCTTATTATGAACTTGCTTAAACTTTTGAAGATAAACATTTTACTGGTCAAAGATTGGCGCTTTGAGGTGCGTGTGAAGTTTAATTTTCGTCTTGAAGTCCCGTTGGCCTGTTGTCCTAGACCCAGCTAAGGCAAACAAACACCAACCAAAACAGAATTAATTGCAGCTAAAATAACGTAATAGTAGGATTGAATTCGAGGTTCAGTCTAATCATATTTCGTCGAATCGTAGAAGAATCATTTAGTTGGAAAATCTGAAAAATTCAGACCAATTTTCTCGACACGGAGAGAAATGTCTTGATTTTTATTTGAAACCGAATCACAAATGAACACAGGTTTTAATACGAATACATCCCTTTGAGTCGTCAACATCGGCCGAAAAAAAAACCTCGATAAGGGGGGGGGGGGGGTTGGGGGTGCGAGGGTGGTCTCAGAGAGCTCCAAGTGTTGTTAGAGTATTGAAATTGTTTTATTGGGCCATATAACCGAAGATAGGCCTTCTCTTTTGATGTTTGTATATTTGCGGCGGTGGCGGCAGTTGCTGGTGTTGTTGTTTTAGGTGTCTTACCATCATCTAAGGAGCGAGTGCCCCCTGAGAGCACCCCGATGGGCAACATGCCCGTGGGAGTGAGACCTTTCAAGGCCACTACTTTCTCACTCTCTTCCCTAAAGGCCACAATACAACACACATGTAATCTACTGTTTATACATATCAACTAATTTACAGACCACACTAACGTTAACACCACAATTCTGTCTAAGTGACAATTTGCAGATTTCAAAACTTAGCTAACACACGGTTGAAATCGCGTAGATGAAAAAGAAAACCAAAAACCAACTTTCGATTTTCATCGAAAACATCACCGAAGAATTTTCAATGATTGGCGCTTATGATAATGCTACAAATTGTCCCTTTCATCGAATTGTCACTACAAGTACACATTAGTCTTTTTCTTAATACTTGAATCTTTAATTTAATTATTAGCAATGTTACTAGCATATATGCACCAGAAAGCAATAGCTGATATTATTTTAATTTTCAGGTCAAATATTATATTTTCATCCCCCTCAAATGAAACAGAAAAAACATAAAACTTTAAGATCGTTAACTTATGTTACAATCATTATTTAATTATCATGAGCTTTTGAAAACAAAACGCCACACAGTGACGATAATAATCTCGATCATTTTACGGACCCCGATAATTGATATTGAAAAAACTCTGGGCAATCTAGCCTCTATAGGAAGACTAGAGGCTGATTCATCTTATGCACTTAATGTTTTTCACTTACCCTGAACATAGCCAACAAACAGTTGGAAAAGAGTCATGAAGTCAAGACAAAAAAACGACCGTTTTTCGAAAAAATTTCTACTTTCAAATTTCAAAGAAAAAAATAAATGGTCTTAAAGCTCTTTAAATTTCTGGAACAATTTCTGATTGACACTTTTTTTTGAGTTTGACACAGTAACTCAATTTGAGAAAACTGGATCAATAAGTAAACTTTTTATTTCGCTGGGAGATCTGATAATTAAATTCCATTTTCGAACTTAGAAGTCGATCACGTTTTTCGTGACCTTTACACTTTTGCTGTTCGATAGTGGAGTTTGCCTTCCTTTTAACAAAGGAAATGAACTAACTTGAAAAGAAATCAAGTCAGACCGTGAAAAGTAGATTTGAGCCTGAACAAATTAAGAATTTTCCTGCAAAAAAACTAAAAAATCACTAAGACCTATATAAGTTCATGACCCTTAATAAGTGACACCATTTTTCTACTAAACCATACTTTGACTAACTAGTTGGTTCAGTCAAACTCGAGATCAAATCTCTAACAACACCATTCAAACACCCGCAAAATGAAAGCATAATTGATTGGAAAACCCTGTTATGTATTACCCGCAACCTATCCTATGCTTAACCTGAAATTGAAGTTAGGTTAAAATCCAGTTGGAATTAATGACATGATTCATTGTCAAAATTACAAATTGCCAATAACACATATGATTGTACACTAACAATTCAACTTTGAATGGAAAACCATCAAATCATTAAGCTTGCAGGTGGACATTTGCACTATTGAAGGGCTAATCATGGTTGAGAATGTATATGCCAACGGGGTAATAAACTTATGCCAAACCTGATCGTCTCAAAAAGATCCGAGAGAAAACATCCAGTTAGATCAAACATCCGATAGCCGGCACTTAATTCACCTAGATTTGGCATGAATTTGGGTATGAAAAAAAAACACGATCTATCAAACACCAGTCATTTCGTTCATAAAAATGGTATTTTTTAGAAATCAAAAATGGAATGTTCTACCCGTGTCGAACTACCACTAGTTTGCTATGGTTTTCTCATTAAAAGCTGCACCAGCCACTGAGTTCTCGACAGACCTGGATTTAAACAACAGAAGCCGCTAGCCATCCAAGTAGGACAGAATTTTTCGACCTCATTTGAAGGTCGTGCATTCAAACATTCTACCTGGACAGATGAGTGTGTTAACAAAAATTGTGACCAAATCTTTGATTTTTTTTTGAATCAGAATTAAAATGTGATACCACAGTTGACGATCTATGATCTTTCAAAAATCAACAAAAAACACCCTTCGCCACAGTTCTTTCCTATTTCATGAAGTGGTCGCAACAGCAATTGCATCGTTCAGACATTCGACATCTGCTTCGTTCCGGCAAACAACTGCTCTAACCTTTCGGACGTTTGACCTGTCTGATGTTTGCCCTTCTTTTTCACACTATGATTGATTGTTTTTGTTGATTGCATGAGTGCATATAGGTTGCAATTGAACATTGTCGTTCGTTTTGTGTGGTAACCATGATTACACTAAGGGTAGCAAAATAGCCCTGCAAAATCACTCCCTCCCCATTCAAAATCACATGAGCCAAGTTGTATGCAATATCCATCATGTGTTTGCATTGCTGCAGGTAATTCCCACCACTAGTAAACATTGTCATGTCCGATTCAGTGGGGCTCATTTTGCGTCTATTCTAATAATGCTCCTTCACTTCAAGGCTGTCACATTTGCTAATGCATTTTAGTAGAAGTCAGTCAGTCAGCAATGCAACCAATAGACTAATGCTTCACTTCATGTGGTCACTGTACTATTTTTAAGCCCAACTACCTTCCCTCGCTCTCAGAGTACTACGGGTAACATTCACCGCTTTTTACCAGCCCATTTCCCTAACTGCATCTTAAACTTTACATACCAAGCAAAGCGGACTGCAAACTTGCACTTTCAGATACTCCTCACAGGATTAATTTGAGAAAGGCTTCAATGACTCTTTCATATCACAAGATGAAAAGATGAACATGGGTACAAAAAAAGAAGTCTGCCCAGCTGGGCAAAAGGAAAGGGGCAGGTAAAAAGCAGTCGACGCAAATTCATCCCTCCCTCGGGGGCAAAGGAAAATCAAAATCACATTCAATCAGGAGACTTTCGTCTAAAACACCTGGTCAACAACATTCTACTTCATATAATATTATAAAACACGATTTGTGGTTGAAGCGATCCATTTACTCTAAATCTACTGCCCATACACTAAATGGTATTGCATTTGAATGGTTTCTCCGCCAAGTAGAGAGTAGATGATAAACTTCAACGGATAACTTCTGGTACAACAAGGCATTAATTGCATTGAATTCAGTGCATCGACATTGGGGACATATCAAAACCACGTTAACACGTTTTTTTTTTCGCCAGGACCAAGTTAGTTTCCAGCTACAGAACCAGCTGAAATTCATCATCACTTAAACATGGCCCCTCGCCGTTGTCTATTTAGCTTGCATTCAAATTCATTTCTCCAGTTGTTCTCTAACTCAGAGAGCTCATCGAAATATTACACTGTGAGCATATAGATTTTGTTGACTGAATGGTCGTCTAAGCAGATAGACAATTAATGGGGGGGGGGGGGGGGACTAGAGAAATGATTCAAATGATCAAACGTTTTAATAGTACTGAACAAGCCCATTCAACTGTTTGAGATTGTGTAAAATGTAATTGACCAGGTATTGGTATGCAAACTATGGTTTAGAAGAATCGATTCAACATAAATAGGACAACAGGTACGTATTAGAATAGTGAACGTTCCCTTCTGATCTACTGAAAAGCTACTGTACTATTACTGTTACGTTCTATTCAGTTCAGGTGCATTTGGAGGCACTGACGGTACAGGTACAATACATTTCACGGGACGACAAACTTAAATAACATTTCCTCCTTTCTAAATATAACTCTCCCCTTAACATTATGATTTGCATCTGAAGTGAAATCGCACTTAGCACTCCAGGCTAGAGACAGCCTTGCACGATGCTTAATTGATTTGAAAACGATCCCTTTTAGTATCCAAGAACATAGCCAACGTTTTTTTATATTTCCAATTCCATAAAACAGAATAGATAACCGTAAGCCTTTTTAAGTTCAAATAACATTTTTTTGTTGAAAATTTAATTAACCCATTTGGGAAAATCGAATGAAAAAGTAATTTAACAGTTAAAAGCCTAATGCTTATGTGGCTCACGATGCGAAGTTGAACTTCAAAACAACAAATGGGCAAAGTATAGAAAGCTGATTCAGTTGAAACTGAAATCAAACGTCTTCGAGTTTGGAAATAATTTGTCTTCGGCATTTTTCTTCTATATGAAATCAAAAACATAGTTAAAAAGATTCAACGAACGCAAGTAAACAAAAAAATCTGACTTATTTTTTTGAAAAAAAAACATCAACTGTAGAAAATTAGATGCCCTTAAAACTCTTTGAAATTTATGACCGGCAATTTTTTGATTAAATTAACCCGATTTAAGAAAACTGGATCAATTAAATTTTTATTTTGCTGGAAAATCTGAATACTAAATTCACTTTCGAAACTACAAGTTGATCACGTTTTTAGAGACCTTTATACATTTGCTGTTCGATAGTGCAGTTTGACTTGCTTACAACAAACGAAATGAATTGAAATTCAAAAAAAAATCGGAGGTACAACTTAAAAAAAAAACAAATATCAATCCGCGAAAAAGTAACTATGAGCCTGGCAAGGCTTTTCGTTAAAAAAACCATGACAACTCATATACGAGACTACACTACGTTAATCGAATTTTAAACAATCAAAAAAAAGTGGGAAAAGAGTCAAGGAAGGCAATTAAACATTTTAAAAAAGAAAATCTCAAGTGTCTGTCGAATTTCAAAGAAAAAAGTAGCTGGCCTTGAAGCCCTTTCAATTTCTAGAACTATTTTTGCTGACACTTAATTGATAAAACTAAACCAATTTGAGAAAAACTAGATCATTCGGTAAACCTTTTATTCCGCTGGGGAATCTGATGAAAGTTAAACTCCACTTCCAAAACTAGAAGTCGATTACGTTTTCGTGACCTTTTAACTTTATATGTTTGATAGTGGAATAGCTTTCATTTTAACAAATGAATTTAACTTAAAATGGAATCAAATATCAAACCGCAAAAGTTTAATTTGAGCTTGAACAAATGTTAAGATTTTATCTGAAAAAAAAAATCATCATGACCTATATAAGAGCCTGAAATACGTTCACCGACCTTTCAAAAAAACTATCTAAACACAACTTCTGAAAAACAGGTTCAAAAGATAATATATCTACCAAAAAACTTTTCAGTCCAAAGAAAGTATTAAATGAGTTTTTTGGGTCTTTTTGGAAAGATTAAAAGGTTTAGTTCAAATAAAACGAAGTGCAAATTTACCCCTTTGGTATACGAGAAAAATCAGCAAAAAGAAAAACAGAAATCAGTTGAAAAAATCGCCGTTCAGAGAAAAGAGAATAATTTAAGAAAACATTGTTAAGTCACAAAGACGATTCGGGCTTTATTGAAATGTAAGCTCTTTTTTAATCAAGGAAAAAGAACAAAAAACAGAACTCCAGAACTTAAAATTGTTTAAGCTTTAACTTTAGCCATTATGAGGATTCAGTTTATAACTAACAATATAATCTTTCTCAAAACTATGAAATGGAGACAGAGAGACAAAAACAATGAAGTGCCGGTCAAAAAATGTGGTCAAAAATATTACAAGGACACCTTAATAAATCTCTTGAAACCAAACAAACTGCATTAGGAGCATTTAGATGTTTCATATGGTTCAATCTGTTGATTAATATTAACTAAGATAAAAAAGAAAAAATGAAAATTCGAAATCTTATTGAAAAACTCCTAAATATTTGCAGATACAATTTCTCAATTAATTTACGAAGTTTAAAAAACTCTGGAAAGCTATGATTTCCATCCAATTATATCATTTATATTTGAAATGTAACTTATTCACAACGAAAACAAAAAATAGAGCTGGAAAAAGTCAATAAATTCAAAGAGACTGGAGAAAACGATTGACATTTTTGGAAAAGTTTTCTGAACTGAAATTTCAAAAAATAATAGAAGTAGTTCACATTTTTTACGCAACTTCTCTTTCGTTATCGGAGAGTGCACTTTGCACTCCATTTACTAAATGATATTAAATTGAACTCAAGAAAAGAAAAGTCAAACAGCAAAAGATCAAATATGGCACTTTTTCCTAACTCGAAAAAAAACTTTTTTTTTCATCTAACTCGAAAAGAAAACATCAAGACTTATAAACTGTCTTAACTACGTTCATTGCTATTTAAAAACAAAAAATCATTTTTATCAAAAAATTTCAGCAAAAAACAACGTCATTCTCGGATCACGCGCTACACAAGCCCTACGAGACAAGGCAGTCAAGGCAAAACGGAAAAAGAAGATTTTTTTGAAATTTTTCATAACGAAAACACCTGAATTAGTTTTTCTACATTTCGGTAATCATAATACCAAGATTTTTCAGTTCAAAGAGAAATGAAATTGCCTTGAGCCAGTTTGACAAGATTTCAATTCAATTTTACTAAGTACGATTTCACTTCGGCAAGAAACAAAAATTTAAAACCCCTAAATGCTATCTACTAGAATATCCTATCGACTTCATGTGAAACTAGCAAAGTGTCTTATAGGAGCTATCTGTGGGTGTAGCTGTGGGATAGGTGTTGGGATGGGGGATGGGGGTCGGAATTAGGGAGAGGGGGACATCCCTGGGGTCCTGTTCTCTTACCATCGTGTATGGTCTCCTTGCCACCTGAGAGTGTTCCCAGGGGCAACAGTCCGTTGGGAGTGAGACCCTTGAGCTGGAGAACGCTCTCACTTTCCTCCCTGTGTGCAATTAAGTTTATCAAACGAACCCTCAACAAAACCATCTTTACATTATCTCTCTTCTTATCATCATCATCATCATCATCATCATCAACTAGTCCACAAATCAATGATCAACTCAACATTAACAAGCAGTATCACTAGAAGCACCTGCCATATTGTTAATCAATTCCATTTACAGCTTCATGAATTCGCAACCATCTGATTTAAATTAATGACAAAATTGGTTCAACAAAGTGCATGTTCTGTTTGGCTACCACTTCTAGTATTACTGCTGCATTCCTGATAATTGATCTCATTAGTCTAAGTACTTTTCCGTAAATCGACCATAGTATTTCTCCAGACATGTTTTATAGCGGGGCCTTCCTCCAATACCACACTCAAATGTTACCTTAAGCCATTATTTAATATCTAATATGGCATAATAGAGTAGTTAATGACGTAGAGGTACAGGTGGAAAAGTAGCGGGGGCTGGGGTTGTTGCGTGTTTATATGATCTAACCTGAGGACAGTGAAGACTCTGGCCATTTTGCCGATTGCACGGATCTTGTTCCTGATCACCTCTTTCCGCTGAGCCACCTGGCTGGCTTCTGAAACAACACACCACAATACAATCCAACTTAACGCCACAATACAATCCAACTTAACTCATTCAAATTCTTCATTAGCTATCAATTATCAACTGATCACATTATGATATACTAAGCTTCTAACATCTAATATACATTCAAACTCTCACATAGTTTGTTTTACAAGTCATGTTTTATTGCCAAGTTAAGTTTTGATGTCAAATCTGTTTAAATGTCATATGAACATTTAAAAAGGCAGTCAAAATGTTGAGCTGTTTGATAACGATGAACTGATTTGAATTTGATTCGGATTGGATTAAAAATTGGATCTCTTTAACTATTCCTCCCATCTGAAACCTAATAAGGAATTGCCGCCCCTGGAATGAAATAATTCAAGGGTTAAGCATATGTGAATGTTGCACCTAGTAATGAACCCCCCCCCCCCCTCTTTGCAAAGGGTAGGGGTGAAACAGTAAAAGAGATCCATAAATTTAAAAAAGAAGGTGAAACTAACAATTGATCAAATGGAAACTAAAACGACTAATCTATAATTATGCTACATTTTTCAACTGCATTCGCATTATCTACACACACACACACGTATACTTACCCGTGGCAGTGACTAAAATTATAATATTTCAATCAACACACATTTAATTAAATTTGCTACAATAATCGGCAAAAAACTTGCAAGAAAACTCCTACACCAGTCGTAAACTAACTTGCATAAGTTAGATTTAGAGCATGGAAAATGAAATAGAAACATTGGCCATAGAGCAAACAGTCTATTTAGTATAGGCGATTGTCTTGTCTCAGCGCCTGATGTTAAATTTGTTGTTCCTTGTGACTGCATTGTGACTTTCGAGATTCAATAGAGAACTTCCGGTGTCAAATAGTCCACAAGGAAATTGACATAAGCACTCATAATCACTTTATTTCCTTTCTGATCCCAACTGAATTGCTAACTTCTCAAGCTAGTTAAGGATAATGAAATGAGTCAACAAATCGTCAGACAAACTACAGTTGAGAACAAAAATGATTAAGATTTTCTGAAAACGCAAATATAACCTCATATTGAAAAGAATCACAATACTGCTTCAGATCTAGCTAATAATCTCTCACCTCCCTCCCTCTTTTATATCTACTAAAGAATCCCCTATCTAAAATCAGTAAATTAACACTAAAGCTTTCCAGTGAAAATAATAACTTTGCTGCATTCTGATTGCATTGCCGCGGTCGAAAACTCGTTGATTTAATCTTACTTGACAATCTCTACCGTTTTTTGAACGAGAAAGGGGTGGGGATTGTTGAGTAGATCCACTGTTTATTCAGCAAAAATTAAAAATGTTACACAGAGCCGATACAACAAACAAAAAAATAAAAATGTTGAAAAAAATTGGGTGAGCCAAAATTTTCGTATGTCTGGATAAAAGACAACTAGGGGCCCAACTACAGCTGGAGGTATGTGTTTAATACTTTTTGAATTTGTTATACTGATGCGGGACGAAATGCGGAATTTCAAATAAGGGACTTTGCCCAAAACCTCAACTTCTCTTAAAAAATAAACAGTCGGCCCTTCTGTAGGAAAAATTCTCGCAACCAGTTCCTTCGATTAAAGTTTTCATTTCAGATTTGATAGTGTAGTTTCTTATAAAAGTCGAAGTTTCGTAGAAAAAAAAACGATCATAAGTTCGAAAACTTTCTGAAACCTTAAACTTTTTTCTGCAAAAAAGAGAGTCGTTGCCGCTTAAGCAGAGAAGACTCCCCGCTTAAGCAGAGAAGACTCCCCGCTTAAGCAGAGAAGACTCCCCGCTTAAGCAGAGAAGACTCCCCGCTTAAGCAGAGAAGACTATCAAAACCGACTTTCTGTTTAGATTAAACCTATGACATCAGATTTGGCGGGATAGTTGACGAAAAGTCCAAAAAATGGTCAACAAACCAGAAAGTTGACATTTCCGAGAATGATAGGTTTTTGTTTACGAAAGTTGGGCGTAGCTGCTTATGCAAAAGAGAATCAACCAACCTTTAGTTTCGATTAAACCCAAAATCAAAAGCCATAGTTTGGCAGGGTAATTCTCGAGAAAAGTTTCAAAAAAACGGTCAAAAATATCAAAAGTTGGACTTTTTTGAGCGCCATAACTTCTTGTGTCAAAAAATTGGGGCGCTCTCGCGTATGCAAAGGAACTTCTCACAGCCCGTTCTTTGGACTCATATCAAAATCTCAGATATGGCAGGATAGTTTTTGAGAAAACTCAAAAAATTAAAACAAAAACTGTCAAAAAATCACAATTTGATTTTTCCGAGTTCCATAAATTTTCATTGTCGAAAAATTGGGCTAGTTGCGTATGCAAAGAAGCTATCCACAACCCGGTTTTTAGATTCAACCCTAAAATCTCAGATTTGGGAGGATAAATTTCGAGAAAACCAAGAAAAAAAGTACAAAAATATGGGTCAAATATTCCCCCCATAGACTTTTTTGAAGGATGTAGACAGACGGGGAAAGTAAAGAGACTAAGCGTCTCAAAATCAAAAAAAAAACCAACCCATACATTTTCATCAAAACTTTTTTTTATCAAACAGTAATTCTAGACAAACATGCCCAGCAAGACATTTGAATTTTAAATTAGCAACGGAACAAACCCCACGAAGCGGAACAAATCCGACAAATTCTGAGCAGACAACAGTTAAGCCGCAAAAAAATGATTTAATAAAAAACCTGAAAAACTTTCCAGACCTCTGAACTACAAGAAACACCATGTGCAACTACCATCATACTTGCTTACAGTACAAAAATTTTCCCATTGCATACACAGAAAAAAAATGAGGTCCGGACATTAGGATGCAGAGGTGACGTGATTACCTCTAGGCCAAGTGCGAAAGAACCTGCAAGTTGCTAAGATTCAAACAGCCAATCGAAGATTGGAAAAAAGTAATGAACACAAGTAAAGATGAAAAAAAACACTGACTCTCTTGAAAAAATCCCAACTTTCGAAATTCAAATATAAAAGTTGATACCCTTTAAGCTGTTTGAATTTCTAGAACAATTTTCGATTGGCACTTTTTTGATAAAATTGATCCAACTTGAGAAAACTGTATGAATAAGTGTTTATTCCGCTGGAAATCTTAAAATTAAATTGCACTTCCGAAACTAGAAATCGCTCACGTTTGTTTTTCGCGCCATTTCCACGTTCGTTTTTGAAGAGTGCTATTTACGTCACTTTCAGCAGATGATTTTAATTGAACTCAAAAATTCATATATATTTAAGTGCATTCATAAATGGATCAAAATGTATGAATGCACATTTGTAGTTACTAGAGACTTTATGACTTTTCCTGAAAAAAAATCAGCAAGACCTATTTCCGAGTCTTCACTACGTTTATTACTCTTAATAATAAAGCAAGTAAAAAATATGTAAGAAAAATTGCTTACGGTAGAAAAAGTATGGTTAGGTAGCAAAAAAACTCAAGATGTCTGGTTCAACCAATTTTTCTCATGCTTGAGGCAGAATTTCTCAGACCAGCAGAAAAATAGCCTAATATTGCACGTGGATTTTCAATCCAGTTCAGAGTAACAAACTGAAATGCCATAATGCTCTTTTGAACCGGGAAAAAAATTCTTCGTTTGGAAAATACAACTGAGAACGAAATGATTAGTAGCCAGTGAGGTCAATTGCACTTCGGTTCCACCACGTTTAGTTGCAAACTTGATTGCAAAAGAATTAGTTAATTCGCCATGGAGTTTTATTCTATTTTACCAGATTTGGATGATGACGTCAGTTTTCCGGCTACTAATTGTGCAGTGGAATCTGTGCCATCTAAAAAGTTGGCCCTCATTTGTTTCATATCAAGGCAAGTGTTATAACTTATAATTACGTAATTTGCGCGGGAATTTTTCTTCTGTTTCAAATTAAATCTTTTCGAGCTACGATAGATAGAATACAATTAATCTTACAAGTGTTTAATTTATTCATTTTGTAAAATTGAAAACCTAGAAAATATGAGGATATTTATGCGTCATACCTTCTCCTTCGGCTATGAGTTCGTCGTCTGAGCAGATGTTGAGCACGTTGACCAGCATCTCAGTCACTGAAACACAAATACAATCAGTTCATTAATTGGAGGAGCCAATTGCAATACAACCGTGCACTGCAAGCTGGCGCTCAAAAAACGAGACGCAAATCACTACTAGGTCAAAAAACTTCTTTTAAAAAAGTTTGAAACCTAGCCAACAGACAGTTAGAAAAAAATCATGAACGAAAGTAAACTCGGACTTATTTTTTGAAAAAATCAAAAACATTCGTATTTCAAAGAAAAAAATAGATAGCCTTAAAGCTCTAGAAAGACTTAAAACTCCTAATAGAAGCCCATCACGTTTTTCGTGACCTTTAAACTTTAAATGTTGGATAGTGCAATTAGCTTTCATTTTAACAAAAGAAATGAACTGAACTTCAAGAAAATCAGATGTCAAACAGCAAAATAATCCAACTTGTTAAGACTTTTCCTAAAAAAACCATGACTACCTAAATTAGAGTCTGAACTAGTTTCATCGACTCTTCAAAAAAATTGCCGTAACACAATTTCTGAAAAACAACTGCACAAAATAAACACTACGTGCGTTACAAGACTAAATAAGAAAGTTCAAAATGTAATATATTCCTTTCAAAAAGTAATAGTACTATCTAAAAACTTTTCAGCTCAAAGAGTAGTAATTGAGCTGGGTTCTTTTTGAAATGATTAAAACTTGTGGTTCAAATAGAACAAACGTCCACATTCATCTCTTTCTTATACGAGGAAATTGAAAAAAAAATAATGAAAAAATTGTCGACTAGAGAAAAGAAAGTATTTTAAAAATTGTTTAAGCTTTCTCAAACTCTGAGATGAAGACAATAAGTTAAAAAGTAAGTGTCGTTCAAAAAAGGTGGTCAAATCATGTTTTTACATCGATAACTTATTAAAATTCTTGGAAGCAAACAAACTTCAACTGCATCAGGAGCATTTATATGTTTCATAAGGTTCTACCCGTCAATTGTTATTCACTAAGATTAATTGAAAAAAGAAAAACTCTCGAAACATTTGCAGACACTACTCAAACTCAAAACTTATTTACAAAGCCTATAACATAGCCAACAGACAGTTAGAAAAGAGTCAATGTACGACTTAATCTCAGGGAAAAAAATGAAAAAACTTTCGAATTTCACAAAGAAAAAAATAGATGGCTTTAAAGCTCTTTGAAATTCTAGATTAATTTATGATGACACTTGCTTCATAAAATCAACCCAATTTGAGAAAAATGGATCAATAGCTAAAATTATTAGTGTGTATAACATTTTTGTAAAATTATAATTTGCACTTTGTTGATAAAGTTAACTGAATTTGAGAAACCAGGATTTTAGGTAGAGTTTTCATTTCACTGAGAATTCTAAAAAACTAAATTCTACTTTCGAAGCTAGAAATCGATCGTTTTTCGCGCCATGGCCGCTTTCGTAATTGGAGAGCGAATCCATCCAACGTTTTAGCAAATCAACTTGCATTGAACTCAAAAAGTGCACATATACTTAGGAGCTTTCATTAATGTATCATTATGAATAAATGCACTTTCTGTAGTTATTAGAGCATTTTAAGACTTCCTGAAGAAATCACGACGACCTATAAAAAAGTTTTAACAAAGTTCATCGATTCTTTACAACTGATTATTATGAAGCGTTTTCCAAAAAAGCCCATCCAATTTGAGAACATTAGAGCAAAAGTAATTTGTTTATTGCGCTGGGAAATCTGAACATTATAATCCATATTCAAAAATAGAAGTCGATAACGTTACCTTTCCACTTTTGTCGGTCAATAGTTAGGTTTGCCTATGACTAGCTTTTTGATAAACAACCTCTTTCAAATTTCAAAAACAATATATGGCCTGAAAGCTCTGTGAATTTCACCAACAAGTAATGCTTGATAGATTTCTGATCGGATAATCCTATTAGAGAAAACTTGATCAATGGGTAACTTTTTATTCCACTGGGAAATCTGAAAATTAAATTCTACTTTCGAAACTAGAAGTCAATCACGTTTTTTGTGACCTTTATAATTTCGCAAACGAATGAAATGAACTGAACTTAAAAAAGAAATCAAAAGTCAAACCGCGAACTAAATTTGAGCCTGGACAAATTTGAAGACTTTTGCCAAAAAAAATCATCGCGGACCTATTTAAGAGCCTGAACAACGTACATCGACTATTAACAACCATTTCGAAACATAAGCTGTACCAAGAGAATTTTCATCAGAATTAAGTCCAAAATGCGAAAAGATTATTTGTATTGATTTTCTAATGAAATCGCAAAAAAGACAAGATAGTTTCTTGAACTTTCTCACACGATCATGTAGTTGATGGTGATGTGTAGTGTTTACCTTTTTCTCCGACGAATGGAAGGGACCAGGTGAAGACGTCCATGAAGTTGGGCAGCCAGTAGGGGTGGGGGGAGCAGTTGAACTGGCGGATGTTCATGACGTTGTTCTCGTACTTGAGTATGGCCGCCTTGTTGTTGTACACGTCCAGGTAGTTAGGGGCGGAGAAGATGGTGATTAGGGAGGGGAAGCCAGTCAGCTGACTCTTTCTGTACATACGGTACCTACACACAAATCCATATCACTCACATTATCCACAGCTAGTTCTGTCTATATCTGCGAAACATTTAAGCATATAAAACATTACGCAAGTTAGACGACCGTACTAAAACGGAATTAAGCGAAAAAGCGATAACTATGTGTGATTTTAGACGATAAAAACTGGGCTAACAAAGCTTTTTGTTTAGAATGCAGTAAAACAAAAACTGCTCTTTTTCAGCCCCCCTTTCAAAACACCGAGTTTTGTGTTTGTTTTACGTGTTATTACGGCTAAATGCGTGATGTTACGCTTTAAAGTATGAAGAACAAATCTGTTCACAGTTGTCGATTTGTTCACCACGCCAAATTTCATTGCATTATGACAACGTTAATTAAGCTTTTCAAAATTGAATTTGAAAGGGGGGACGGGAAAAGAGCCACAAAAAGAAAAAAGACTATGACCAGAACTCATCGAAAATATTTTTGTAAGTTAATTAGAAAACATTAAATCGATGAAGTAAATTACGTTTTTGAAATGCATAAATTTAGGGAGCCAATTTTAAAAGACTCATTAAAAAGATTATATTATTATTTAGACTTAATAAATAGAATTATATTGAAACATAGTGATCGATTGAAAAATCTAAGCTCTGAAACTCTAAAAAACTTCAGTCTGAATTTAAAAATTGGGAGATAATTGCTTCTAATGTATTGCAATTTATTCTGAAACTACAGAACTAGCCATCAACTCAGCACATGAACTTTGCTCATCCAGTTAAGTTAAGTTCTCTCGAAGTACTTTTTCGCCCACTTAGCGACTAGGGGAACCATTAAGGCAATTAGGCGCTTTTAACCTTTTAAATTTCAGCGACAAAAAATAAACATTTCAGCTATGCAAGATAAGTTCATGCTATCTCTTTGATGTTAACGATTCGCGTATAAAATCTGTTATTTTGCTGTTCTAAACGGCTTCAATGGGTTCTTCCGACCAATAGCTTACTGTTGATAGTATTCAGGTCGTTAAAATCATTTCCGAAGCTTAGTGAACTAACACGGAAATTGAAGAAAAAACGTCAATTGTGACAGTTTCATCATGTTAATTTCCTTTTTCACAAAACCATAGAAACGTTTTCTGCTAGCTTTGAAATTATACTGCAGTTTAAAATAGCAACTTAAGCTAAGATTTTCTACATGCGACTAGAACGAAATAACTGATTGAAAATTCAATCATCAATAATTCTCAACATAGGAGCACTGTTGCGAGTTTACAGCGTCGATTTAATTTAACCGGACAAGAACACATTTTTCTCAAATTAGGTTTAGACCAGACAAAAAGTGAAGGGAACAAAAGTTGCTTAGAGTTTCACCAAAAATAATACGATGCAATTTATTTTGCGGAATTGGAAACGAAAAATGGGTTATTATGGATTTTCTTAGAAATAACGTCAAAACTAAGAATTTACTGGTAACAAAATTATAACGAAAAAAGCCTCTTTTAAAGCTCAACAAAGTTTGACATGAGTAAAATTTCCGCAAATTTAAGCAAAACGTTTAAAATTTGCTATTTAGAAAAGATTTTCAGTTGTATAGTTAAATACGGTTTTATACAGATTTCTGGATATTTTAGTCTTGAAGAACATTGACGGGCTTAAAAAAGGGTTGTTCGATATGATTTCATAATTAAAAAATGAATAGTTTCAGCGTAACTCTTGATAAACTAAAAAAAAACAAAATGGCCCATTTTCGTGAGAAAAATCTAATTCCGAACTCCGCAAAATTAATTGCACAGTAGTAAATCAGGTTAAACTTTAAGCATCTTTTGTTCTCTTCACTTTATGGTCACTATGCTAGCTAGTGGAATTTGCCTTCATTTTTTTACACACAAAAAAAGACTTGAATGTTAAAAAGTTAAACCAAGAGAGTTTGCTTAAGAAAACATAGCCAACAGACAATTGGAAAGAGTTTTTAACCGCAAGGAACCAGAAAAAAACACTGACTAGCTTTATGATAAGACTTCTTTTCGAATTTCAAAGAAAAAAAACAAGGAAATAAACTGAAAAATTTCAAACTTAAAAAAAACATTCAAACCTTGTTAAGGATTTTCGGTTGCTGTGCAAAAGCGGTTTCTGCGCAAATTTGAACACAGCCATGAGACAGCAAGAAAATAGTCAATAAAAGCACCGCAAAAATACTAACTTTTTTCTGAAAAATTTTCCAAGAAAAAATGTGGCCCCAAACTCTTGACCTACAACACAAAACTACATTTCAAACTTATTTAATGAAACTTACCCAATGAGACAACTAGATCAATAGGCAACTTTTAAATTCTGCTTGAAAAACTGAAACTTAAAATCCGCTTTCGAAACTAGATGCCGATCATCTTTTTCGTGACCTTTCACTTTTACTCGTCGATAGTTGAGTTTGCCTTCTTTCCAACTCGGGAATGACCCGAACTTACAAAGAAATTTTAAGTCATACCATGCCACAAAAAAAAACAAACATGAGCCTGGCCAAATTTTATGACTATCTGAAAAAAACATAGCCAACTGACAGTTGGAAAAGAGTCATGAACGCAATAATACAAAAAATCTGACTGTTTTTCGTAAACACTTCTACTTTCAAATTTCAAAGAAAAAAATAAATGGTCTTAAAGCTCTTTAAATTTCTGGAACAATTTCTGATTGACACTTTTTTGTTAAAAGTAACTCAATATGAGAAAACTGGATCAATAAGTAAACTTTTTATTTCGCTGGGAGATCTGATAATTAAATTCCATTTACGAACTTCAGTCGATCACGTTTTTCGTGACTTTTACACTTTTGCTGTTCGATAGTGGAGTTTACCTTCCTTTTAACAATAGAAAGGCACTGAAATTAAAAAGAAATCGTAAGTCAAACCGCGAAAAATCAAGATTGAGCGTGAACAAATTTGAAGACTTTTTCCTGAAAAAAAAAACTAAAAAAATCAGCAAGACCTCACTACGTTCAATACTCTTTAAAACAAAAAATCACGACTTACACACGAGTCTTCATTGCTGTCATCAACTCTTAATAACACACAGGCGAAAGGGTTCTTCTCGAAATTTGCGATACATAACGCACATAGCGTTGCAAGCTAGCGGATAGAAAAAAAACAGACGCCACTAAGGTGGAAAAAGTATTTGAAATGTCGAAAAAAAATTATTTAAAAAAGATATCGAATTATGTTCAAGTAGCACGCATTTCTTCGTTTATCTGTCGACTTGCAGAAAGCAATGAATCTGTATTGAATGACACTGTATTACAATGTAGAACCCCTATATTTAAGTTAAATATTCACGTTCAATGGTCTCATAGAAAAACCAATGCTGGTTAAATTGGTGGACAGAAAAATTGAATACCATAAGCAATTGTCCTATGTTAAATTGATTGTTGCGAATGTTGAAACCCAATAGCATTAGTTTGAGTCATCCAATTCTAGGCGATGAATAGTTTCAGATCAGTTGCAGTTGCAGATGACTCACCCTGCATCCTGGGCCTCGTGAGCACGGATGATTGATAGCAGGTTGTTGTTCTGAAGGAACTCGCATGTCGCGCTATAACTGAAACACAAAAAAATTCTTACCAAAACTTCTTAACAAAAAAAGATGGCCAACTGACAGTTGGAAGAGAGTAATTAACGCAAGCAAACAAAAAACACTGGCTTAGTTGAAAAAATTTCAACATTAGAATTTGAAAGAAAAAAACAGATGCATTTGAGTTTCTAGAACAGTTTCTGATTGGCGCGTTTTTGATATCCTTAACCCAACTTGAGAAAACTGGATCAATAGGTTAAGTTTTTATTCCACTGAAAATCGTAAAATTAAATTCCACTTTCAAAACTGAAACTTTTAACGCAATTTCCCCGTTCGTATTTGGAGGGTGTTATTTAAGTAACTTTCAGCAGATGAATTTCAATTGACCTTAAAAAGATAAGCTTAATTACCTGTAAAAATAGGAGCATCCTCGCACTGAGTTATGTGTGAAGTGTTCAGAGGTTTTCTCGTTTCCGAAGTCTTCTAGGGGATCTGACCAAAGAAGGTCGCACATCGGGCCGAATGCAGGAGGCTCCTTGAAGCGGTCCAACTAAAACAAACAATAAATGACTAATCGTCCAGGCAACATCTTGAATTACTACGAAAGTGCCAAAAATTTAGTTAAGCTTCAAATTAGTTAGGCTTATCGTTCTAACCATTGACACAGAGGCGAAGCTACGATTCACAAACAATAGCGAGAACACGACAAAGTCAGCTCTATAAAGTGCAATTAAAAAAAGAAATAAGCCTCGAATAGGTAAAAAATCGTCTACGTGAGGTAAAAAATCGACCGAGATTTTGAGTCAAACACACTATCACTCAACCACGAAACAGATGCTATGAAATTTCAAATTCTACAGATCGTGATTAAAGCAAAAGTGCAACCAAACGAACACTTTTATTTGCGAGTTACATAAGAAAAAAAAAGAAAGTTCGCACTAATACACTAACGCTCGAGGGTGTAAAAATGGGGAAGAACTTTGAATACAAGTGTTTCAGGTTTTTTCTTTTTTGTTATCCAAAAAAACAGGCACCACGAATAATCATCGGAATGTTTCGTATGATATATCAAATTAAAGCCCTTTCAGTTGTCATAGGAAAAACTTTCCTAGTGTTGACAAAGAAAACTGTTTGGAAATTTTGTGAAACTTTAACGAGAAAAGTGAGTAGTAAAAACCTTTAGTTTTAATCCAGGAAAACCAGTTTGGAAGCGGCAAAATGTCATGGTCACGAAAAAGGCGATTCACTTCTAGTTTTGAAACAGGATTTTGTTTCAAAGTAGTGAAAGCTCTTATATAGGCCTTGCTGATTTTCTAAGAAATAGTTGATTTTGATTTTTCGTTGTTGTTCCGACCATTGAAAAATGGGGAGGAGCTTTGTATTCGGGTTTGTTTTAGTTTCCACGCAAAATCAGGTACCACGAATATAAATCGGAATGGGTCGAGTGATATATCAAACTAAAGCCCTTTCAGTCATGATTCTAAAAACCTTGAAATCCAAAAAAAAAATTCACTGTCGAAAAAAACGTGTTTGAAATTTTTGAATTTTATAGAATAACTTTTGATCAAATGAGTTGAGTGCGAGCAGCTCATTTGTTTTTTAACTAAAGGCAATTAACACAATTAATCATCGGATGGTTGGAGTGATATCATATTAGAGCCCTTTCAGCCGCGATTCACAGAGTCCAGAAAAACTACGTCAAGAGCTCCAGTAGAATTTCGAGCGAGTAAAGCGAGCGAGCTGGCTGTGTATAGAAGGCTAAGGTGTTAAAATTTGATTTCCATAGCGCAAAAATATTTTCCATCCTTTGGAAATAAGTTCAAGTTTGGTAGCTCCGTTTTGGAAATGAAAAAAAAAACTGACATTTTTCAAGTTTTTTGCTTTGCTTATCTACCTTTTTCCGCCTAAAACTGTATCTTGATTCGCCAATTTTACTGCGTTTCTTGAACATACTTAATTTCTGGACTTTCGTTAGATGAATTTATCTCTCCACGCAGAAAAAAACGACAGTAATTTGAAAACACACGTATATTTTTTATGTATATGGTCGGAAAAAACTGCGCTACTTGCGAAGTCGTGATTCTTGTTGTAGTATGTTTTAGTACTTGAAACAAGCGTACAAGAAAAAATGTTGCGTCGGTCGGTCATTTTATTTCAGTCGTTCATTATAATCTTGGGATCGGAGTCAATATATGAACTTTCTTAAGTTGTCAATGAAATATCACTACAAGTTAATCAAGGCACCTAGCAACAGTTGCGAAGCGCACTTACTACAGAGAATTTAGAACTATTTCAGGAAAATTATAACCTCGCTATACCTTTTTCAGTGTACAAGACTGAATTATTTTGAACGATAAAGTTCCATAGAAACAGCCATACTATCATAGAAAACATCATGAGCAAGTATTCTAGAAAAATCTTGTGATCCGATTCAGTTTACATTTTTTATGAAAAAGTTGTCAATGTAAAATCACCACGAGTTAACCATGGCAACTCGCTTCTCGGACATTGATCATTTTCAGGAAGATTCAAATCCACAACTTATCAGCTGCGAAGCGCACTTCCTAAAGCTGACCTTAGAACTACTTCAAGAGCCATATATCATTTTATAGCTCTCCTGAAGTAGCTCTCTTCAATTTTTGGCAGCTGTTTTAAGTTTAAAAAAAACAACAAAAAATTAGCCTATAATACTAAAAGAAACATAATTACCGATAAACCTAGAAAAATTTTGGGATCACATTCCATTTTACCAATTCTAAAAAGTTGTCAATGAAATATCACCACGAGTTAATCAAGCCAACTCGTTTCTCGGACATTAATTATTTTAAGGAATATTCAAATCCACAACTTATCAGCTGCGAAGCGCACTTCCTAGAGCTGACTTTAGGACTGCTTCAAGAGATCCATATATCATTTTATAGCTCTCCTGAAGTAGCTTTTTTCAATTTTTGGCAGCTGTTTTAAGTTAAAAAAGAAAAAACAATAAACAATTAGCCTATAATACTAAAAGAAACATCATTACCGAAAAATCAAGAAAAATTTTGAGATCAGATTCCATTTAACCAATTCTAAAAAGTTGTCAATGAAATATCACCACGAGTTAATCAAGCCAACTCGTTTCTCGGACATTAATTATTTTAAGGAAGATTCAAATCCACAACTTATCAGCTGCGAAGCGCACTTCCTAGAGCTGACCTTAGAACTAATTCAAGAGAGCCATGTATCATTTTATAGCTCTCCTGAAGTAGCTCTTTTCAATTTTTGGCTATTTTAATTAAGTTAAAAAAGAAAAAACAACAAACAATTAGCCAATAACACTAAAGGAAACATCATTACCGAAAAATCTAGAAAAATTTTGAGATCAGATTCCATTTTACCAATTCTAAAACGTTGTCAATGAAATATCACCACGAGTTAATCAAGCCAACTCGTTTCTCGGACATTAATTATTTTAAGGAAGATTCAAATCCACAACTTATCAGCTGCGAAGCGCACTTCCTAGAGCTGACTTTAGAACTACTTCAAGAGAACCATATATCATTTTATAGCTCTCCTGAAGTAGCTTTTTTCAATTTTTGGCAGCTGTTTTAAGTTAAAAAAGAAAAAACAATAAACAATTAGCCTATAATACTAAAAGAAACATCATTACCGAAAAATCTAGAAAAATTTTGAGATCAGATTCCATTTTACCAATTCTAAAAAGTTGTCAATGAAATATCACCACGAGTTAATCAAGCCAACTCGTTTCTCGGACATTAATTATTTTAAGGAATATTCAAATCCACAACTTATCAGCTGCGAAGCGCACTTCCTAGAGTTGACTTTAGAACTGCTTCAAGAGAGCCATATATCATTTTATAGCTCTCCTGAAGTAGCTTTTTTCAATTTTTGGCAGCTGTTTTAAGTTAAAAAAGAAAAAACAATAAACAATTAGCCTATAATACTAAAAGAAACATCATTACCAAAAAATCAAGAAAAATTTTGAGATCAGATTCCATTTAACCAATTCTAAAAAGTTGTCAATGAAATATCACCACGAGTTAATCAAGCCAACTCGTTTCTCGGACATTAATTATTTTAAGGAAGATTCAAATCCACAACTTATCAGCTGCGAAGCGCACTTCCTAGAGCTGACCTTAGAACTAATTCAAGAGAGCCATGTATCATTTTATAGCTCTCCTGAAGTAGCTCTTTTCAATTTTTGGCTATTTTAATTAAGTTAAAAAAGAAAAAACAACAAACAATTAGCCAATAACACTAAAGGAAACATCATTACCGAAAAATCTAGAAAAATTTTGAGATCAGATTCCATTTTACCAATTCTAAAACGTTGTCAATGAAATATCACCACGAGTTAATCAAGCCAACTCGTTTCTCGGACATTAATTATTTTAAGGAAGATTCAAATCCACAACTTATCAGCTGCGAAGCGCACTTCCTAGAGCTGACTTTAGAACTACTTCAAGAGAACCATATATCATTTTATAGCTCTCCTGAAGTAGCTTTTTTCAATTTTTGGCAGCTGTTTTAAGTTTAAAAAGAAAAAACAATAAACAATTAGCCTATAATACTAAAAGAAACATCATTACCAAAAAATCTAGAAAAATTTTGAGATCAGATTCCATTTTACCAATTCTAAAAAGTTGTCAATGAAATATCACCACGAGTTAATCAAGCCAACTCGTTTCTCGGACATTAATTATTTTAAGGAATATTCAAATCCACAACTTATCAGCTGCGAAGCGCACTTCCTAGAGCTGACTTTAGAACTGCTTCAAGAGAGCCATATATCATTTTATAGCTCTCCTGAAGTAGCTTTTTTCAATTTTTGGCAGCTGTTTTAAGTTAAAAAAGAAAAAACAATAAACAATTAGCCTATAATACTAAAAGAAACATCATTACCGAAAAATCAAGAAAAATTTTGAGATCAGATTCCATTTAACCAATTCTAAAAAGTTGTCAATGAAATATCACCACGAGTTAATCAAGCCAACTCGTTTCTCGGACATTAATTATTTTAAGGAAGATTCAAATCCACAACTTATCAGCTGCGAAGCGCACTTCCTAGAGCTGACCTTAGAACTAATTCAAGAGAGCCATGTATCATTTTATAGCTCTCCTGAAGTAGCTCTTTTCAATTTTTGGCTATTTTAATTAAGTTAAAAAAGAAAAAACAACAAACAATTAGCCAACAACACTAAAGGAAACATCATTACCGAAAAATCTAGAAAAATTTTGAGATCAGATTCCATTTCACCAATTCTAAAACGTTGTCAATGAAATATCACCACGAGTTAATCAAGCCAACTCGTTTCTCGGACATTAATTATTTTAAGGAAGATTCAAATCCACAACTTATCAGCTGCGAAGCGCACTTCCTAGAGCTGACTTTAGAACTACTTCAAGAGAACCATATATCATTTTATAGCTCTCCTGAAGTAGCTTTTTTCAATTTTTGGCAGCTGTTTTAAGTTAAAAAAGAAAAAACAATAAACAATTAGCCTATAATACTAAAAGAAACATCATTACCGAAAAATCTAGAAAAATTTTGAGATCAGATTCCATTTTACCAATTCTAAAAAGTTGTCAATGAAATATCACCACGAGTTAATCAAGCCAACTCGTTTCTCGGACATTAATTATTTTAAGGAATATTCAAATCCACAACTTATCAGCTGCGAAGCGCACTTCCTAGAGCTGACTTTAGAACTGCTTCAAGAGAGCCATATATCATTTTATAGCTCTTCTGAAGTAGCTTTTTTCAATTTTTGGCAGCTGTTTTAAGTTTAAAAAGAAAAAACAATAAACAATTAGCCTATAATACTAAAAGAAACATCATTACCGGAAAATCTAGAAAAATTTTGAGATCAGATTCCATTTAACCAATTCTAAAAAGTTGTCAATGAAATATCACCACGAGTTAATCAAGCCAACTCGTTTCTCGGACATTAATTATTTTAAGGAAGATTCAAATCCACAACTTATCAGCTGCGAAGCGCACTTCCTAGAGCTGACCTTAGAACTAATTCAAGAGAGCCATGTATCATTTTATAGCTCTCCTGAAGTAGCTCTTTTCAATTTTTGGCTATTTTAATTAAGTTAAAAAAGAAAAAACAACAAACAATTAGCCAATAACACTAAAGGAAACATCATTACCGAAAAATCTAGAAAAATTTTGAGATCAGATTCCATTTTACCAATTCTAAAACGTTGTCAATGAAATATCACCACGAGTTAATCAAGCCAACTCGTTTCTCGGACATTAATTATTTTAAGGAAGATTCAAATCCACAACTTATCAGCTGCGAAGCGCACTTCCTAGAGCTGACTTTAGAACTACTTCAAGAGAGCCATATATCATTTTATAGCTCTCCTGAAGTAGCTTTTTTCAATTTTTGGCAGCTGTTTTAAGTTAAAAAAGAAAAAACAATAAACAATTAGCCTATAATACTAAAAGAAACATCATTACCGAAAAATCTAGAAAAATTTTGAGATCAGATTCCATTTTACCAATTCTAAAAAGTTGTCAATGAAATATCACCACGAGTTAATCAAGCCAACTCGTTTCTCGGACATTAATTATTTTAAGGAAGATTCAAATCCACAACTTATCAGCTGCGAAGCGCACTTCCTAGAGCTGACCTGAGAACTAATTCAAGAGAGCCATGTATCATTTTATAGCTCTCCTGAAGTAGCTCTTTTCAATTTGTGGCTATTTTAATTAAGTTAAAAAAGAAAAAACAACAAACAATTAGCCAATAACACTAAAGGAAACACCATTACCGAAAACTCATGAAGAATCTCGGGATCAGATTCCATGATACAAACTCAAAAATGGTTGTCAATGAAATATCACCACGAGTTAATCAAGCTAACTCGTTTCTCGGACATTTATCATTTTAAGGAAGATTCAAATCCACAACTTATCAGCTGCGAAGCGCACTTCCTACAGTTCACTTTAAATCAAGACGTATATCAGGAACTAAAAATCATGCCCTAAGTTATCTCGCTATACATAGCTGATTTTATCTACAAGAAAGGTCAGCAGGCAATTAGCCAATATTTGGTTAGAAACAATCAAATCCGGGTGATTTTCATTTAATAAATTCGAAAATAGTTGTCAATTAAATAGGACCACGATTTACGAAAGTCAAGAAGCTCTATCGTTTTGAAAAAGGTTCAATTCCACAACCCACCGGTACCAAGCGCACTTCTACTTGGTCATAGCTAATTCAAGAAAGATTTTCTTCATAGTATTTTACTGTATTAGTTTGAACAAGAAAAATAAGCACTCAAACAATTCGCCAGAATTTATTTAGCAAACATCATTAGTAAGAATTCTGAAAAAGCGCGCTTCTCGGACATCGCGTATTTTAAGGAAGTTTCAATTCCACAGCTTTTCAGCTGAAAAGTGTATTTCCTTCAGCAGGTTTCAAATTTAAAAACTTTAAACCATGCACTATTTCGTTTCAATGTACATAACTGATTTCAGTTGAGCAAGAAAGCTCAGCACACAATCAACCAATTCTATTTTAGGAAACATCATAAGCGAGAATTCAAACAGAACCTCGGGATCAAGATTCCAATTACCAAATAAAGTAGAACAACTGTTAATAATTATCATCACGAGTTTTAAAAAACTCATCTCACTTCTTGAATAAAGAAGTTTGTAATGATGATACGAATCTACATATTAGCTGTGAACACAATTTCTACCAATCACTTATAAATTATTTCAGAACAAATCATATATTAGGCAATTCCAATGCAATGTAGGAAGCTCAACAGAACAATAGTGAATACTACTTTAGAAAACACGATACAGAGGCGAAGGTGCAAAAAAAATACAAAAAAGGGTCAAAATATGGACATTTCCTTAAATTCTTTTTCTATCGACAATAGGGCGTAGCAGCTTTTGAGATGAAATCTCCAGAAAACGCTATTTCGATTGAACCTTTGCACTCAGATTTGTCATAGTAGTTTCAGAGGAAATATTAATCAGAAAAATCCCCCACTGAAATTTTCGAAGCAAGTAAAACGCCCGGTGAAGTAAAAATAAACGAGAGCTGAATATCCAGGCACACAGGAAGAGAAACCCGTCTCTCCATTTTTTTTTCAAAATCGGTCAAGAAGTTCGAGAAAAACATTTTTTTTAATCGAAAAATTTCAAAAAGCGTCTCAAAAAATTAAACACCAAATATTGTTTTTATCAAACAGGAACAATCGTTAACCATGGAGCAAAAGTTACCCACATATATAAATACAAAGTCGCCATCAAATAATGAGCATTTTTATTTGCGACTTAAGTTGTTAAAATTACTGGCGAATAAGAGGGAAAGAAAACATCGGTCAATGAAAAGTTCACCTCGCTTCTAATATATTGAAAGTTAATGACGTAACTATGCACTTCCAAACCACACTTCCTTCGATTGGTAGAAAAAAGAAATGAACCCAAGTAAACAAAAAACACTGACTTTGCTCAAAAATCATAACTTTCGAATTTCAAAGAAAAAAATAGATGCCCTTTAAGCTCTGAATTTCTAGAACAATTTAAGATGGCGCTTTTTTGATAATATTGACCGAATTTGAGAAAACTGGATCAATAGGCAAAGTTTTTATTCCACTGGAAACCTAAAAAATAAATTCCACTTTCGAAACTAAATTGTTCACGCTTTTTCGCGCCATTTCCACGTTCGTATTTGGAGAGTGCTATTTACGTAACTTTCAGCAGATGAAATTCAATTGAACTCAAAAAGTGCAAATATACCTAAAGCATTCATAAATGCACTAATATTTATGAATGCATATCTGTAGTTTTTAGAGCATTTTAAGGTTTTTTCCCTAAATAAAAAACAAAAAAAAATCACCAAGACTTGTATAAGTCTTTCACTGCATTAATTACTCTTAAAAACTATCCGATATGCAAACTACTAAAATCAGCGACTACAGTATTAGCACAGTATCTACCTTCGAATGATATATTAGCTTAGTAGTAATGAGAACTTGGATCTCTTACCTTTCTGATATCGTCGAGGGTGTGGATTTCTGGTGATAAGCCTCCATGCACGCACAGGAACTGGCCGTTCATCAAAGCTGATAGAGGTAAACAGTCAAACGCCTCCATACACGCGTCATAGACAGCCTCTGTGAATTTGATTTTACCTAGAAAAAAGTTTATTAGAACTACGGTTGCTTCATACGGTTAGTAGTTATTAGCAACTTCAAAACGGTACAATTTGATTTGATGCTTCAGTTGCGAGACTAATTAGGCATTAATTTCGAATTGTTCATTGACTTAATAAAAACAATACCAGTTAAAGGGAGGGGAACACCCCGTCTTACAATTTTAGCCCGTTTGTACAATTCAATTATTTCACCCATTCAAATTTGTTTCAAAAAACCTTCACCATTAAAATTTTAATAGCGAGAGGGAGGAGAGGGGGTTGGGGAGAGCACGCGACAAAAAAAAACCCGCAAATTGGTGATCATAATATTACAAAGAACCTAAAGAGTTTCTAGGGTCGTTATGGAGGAGAGTTTGGACGTCAAACTCGTTAACCTACAAAACGATTTCAAACCCGCTGTTGCCATAGAGGATTCCTCCACCCATGAATAAAAAATTTGGAATTGAAACAGCTCGAAACAGCTGAAAAAGCTTAAATTACTTGTTCTGTTTTTACCTTCTGCGATTGCTCAAGTTGGTGCTCTTTCAATCATAAGTTTTCTTTATTGTTGGATTATTGCACAACTTGAAACAAATTTATTCATATTATCATTCTCTCCAGTAAACTTTCCCAGTGCTCAAGTTATTAGCAGCAAAAGCGCATTGCTATTGGGAAAAGCACGAATACGTCAATGAAAAGAAACATGAAAGACTTTATCAAAGTTGACATTTATCATCTTAATAGTCGGCCATGTGACATTTATCATCTTAATAGTCGGCCATGTGTTTAGATTGAATACTAATGACCTCTATGAGATTTACTCTTTGTATACTGCATTAAGGAGTTAGCACTGAACACCTATCTCAGTTCACAGGATTATTTCATAGAGGAGCATCATTTATTTCATCACCAGTCCCAGTCATGATTGAGATAGCCACAGCCTGACTTGACTTTCTTCTAGTTATCCTTTAAAAACATCTCCCCACATTTGATCTTGCTCTATTCCCTCGAGCACTGTGCAAATACTCAAGACAGCAGCAGAGAAATGAGGCCTCCTCTCAACATGAAAAGAACTTCATTGGAGCCTCGAGCTAACAATCAATGGCATACACTATCAGTGGCATTGTAGTGCACCCCATTACCAAATTAACTAAAAATAGTCTCAACTCCTTGCAAACCAGAGAACGGAAGCTTTCAAAAGAGACCCGGGTTGACGACAGTTAAAATAGCGTTGCATTAATAGGCGAGAAGAGACCAATATACAGACAATTAACTTTGCTGGACTGACTGACCATCAACGAGCATCTGGTAATCTTACGACTAAGTTCATGGTAAATGAACTAAGTCGTATAAAATCGAAAAGATTTATAAGAAATCATAATAAGCCAAGCCGTTAAACTTATTTTTGGCTTGAACTTACGAGCTGTAACTAAGCCGACAATTTTAAGGTAGACACTATAAAGTTTGAATCAAACCTATTTTAGAATTAAAGTGTATTACCATGAAATAACAATTCGCACTGAAAACGACCCAATAGGCAAGCAACTAAGCCAATATAAGACAAGCAGACACCCTTCTAGCCAAACATACCTGTAGATCGAAAACATAGCCAACGGACGGTTGAAAAAGAGTCCATGAACGCCAGTAAACAGGAAAAAATACTGCCTGTTTTTTTTTCGGAAAAATCGGAACTTTCTAATTTCAAAAAAAATAGATACCCTTAAAGCTCTTTGAATCTTTGAACTTGTAGAACAAATTGCCGATTTGATCGACAGTTTTTTGATAATAAACCTATTTTGAGAAATCTGAATCAATAAGTAGCTAAATTTGAAAATTAACATCATCTTTAAACTAGAAGTCGATCACGTTTTTTGTGACCTTGTTACTTTCCCTCTTCGATAGTGGAGTTTGCCTTCCTTTCAACAAAGGAAACGAACGAAATTGAAACGAAACCAAAAGTCAAACAGCGAAAAAATAATTTGAACATGAACAAATTCTAAGCCTTTTCCTGAACAAAAAATACAAGAAATCATCACCACCTAAATAAGAGCCTGAACTACAATAATCGACTCTTAAAAACTGAAAGAGTATATATCTACAACCATGATAAAAATTTGCTTTAATTTTCAATTCGAATTCTCATTTTAAGCTCTTTGAATTTCTAAATCTATTTTTTTGTTGGCTTCTTCGATGAAATGAACGCGTTGAAAAAAATGGATCGATTTGTAATTTTTTTTATTCGCAGGAAAATCTGATAATTATATTCCATTTTCAAAATTAGACGTCGATAACGATTTGCGTGACCTTTACTCTTTTGCTGCTCGATAATGGAGCTTGCATTCCTTTTAACCAAGGAAATGAACAGAAAAAACGAAAGAATCATAATTTAAATAAGAGCCTGAACGGCTCTTGAAAAACAAAAAAGCTGCAATTTTTTAAATATACGAAAAACTAAAGATCATGGAAATTTTCAGCAACGTTGTTTAGAAAGCAACAACTTGCTCATTACCGGAATATATAAGAAAAAAATATATTTATACTAAGAAAAGCTTAAACCATAAGCAATTTCCTTGCTGTGGCAACAGGCGGAGAAAATATAAGCAAACGAAACTCAGTTGCACATTTTGTCACACGAAAACTTTTCGTATACAAAAAACTGGTCATGGCCGGATTTGAACAACAGAACTTTGTTTTCGCACTCAATTGCCTTTCATGTGTGGATTTACTCCATATTTCTGACTTAATTAACACCTAGGTTTCAAATAATTTAGTGAAACTAGTTGAGAACCTGAAAAAAAGTAAATATTCCGATTTGACAATATTTGCAAATTGCAAGCGTACAAACTAACTAGAATCAAAAGTCAAATCGCTCTTATTTCGTAAAACAAATTATACAAGTTCAAAGACACTTTAGTGAAAAAAAAAACAAGCAAGATCTGGAAAAATTCACTTCCTTAACCAACACTGAAAAAACAATCGACATTCATAAGTACTATTTCACTTGAAAACCGATCACACCTAAAAAAAACACAAAACCTCAATAACCAACTTGCTTAAAAAGTTGTTTAAATTAACTTTAAAAAACTGCTTTTTTCGCCAACTCCGGGTTTGTTGGCAGAGATAATGGAGCGTCACTAAGAAAATAATTTTGGACCAAAGGTATCGAGAGCAAAATTAAATACAGAAGCGAATCAAAATTTCGCAACACTTGCGACACAATTGAAAACATTGCATTACAAGATATAGAATAGAAAAAAATTAAGCTGAAAAAAATAGTTGAAAAGTCGGAAGAACTTTATCTGCAAAAAAAATCATACCTCGGATGATGTTCATTTTGATTAAATAAAAAATTGCATTCCTCGTATGATGTTTATGAACGAATTTAATAAACATTGAGAACCAAATAGCGAACGGAAACTGTGGCGAAATTGGGCCGAACAAAAAGTTAACAAGTCACAAAGCTTCCAGAAAACAAGCACAATACGAAGATTATTTGAAGACGATTATTTTTTGATGAAAAAAATAAGGACGAAATCAGTTGTGTAGCGAAGACGGTAGTTATTTTCTTTCAATTAATACTTTGACCTCAGATTCGGCAGAAACTTTTTGAAAAAAGGAAAAAAGACTCCAAAAACGGTCAAAATGTTAAACTTTGGACATTGAATAAGGCCGAAACTTTTTCTACCAAATCAGGGCATAGTAACTTATGCAGGGGATAAACCTAAAACAAGTGCTTCTGATAAATTTCTTAATAGATTTGTCATGGTAGTTTCCGAGAAAAAGAAAATAATGCAGAAAAAAAAGACGTCAAAATTCCCTCCTACTGAAATTTCCGAAAGTCGTAAAAAGCCCGGTGGAAACAAGCTGAAAATCTACGCACACAGGGAAATAACCAGCAACAAACCTGTCACAGATACTAAATGCTATGAAGCAGTAGTTAACCAAATAAAATCTAGCAAAAAATGCCACGAAATGATCTGCGACTTGAGTTGAAAAAATGTGGTTGCCGCAAAAATACCATACACGCTCCGCATGTGTAACAATCAAAAATTTTTATGACCCATCCATACTTAAACAGGCCGAAGCATTAAAATAGCCTTAGAACTATGCATCATAAATTGACTAATCCGATTTAATATCAGCAAACCCGTTTAACCGAACAAGAAATATTTTTAAAAAACTGCAAACTATAGAACGAATATTAATTAAGTGATAACTGTTTGAATCAAAAATTCAAAGAGAGTTGACGCGGGGCTTCGCGAATTTTGCTATACAATCAAAATATTGCATTACACGATATTGTTCAGAAGAAAAATCGACTTTCAAAAATAAAGCTGAAAAAATTACTTGAAATATGTCAAAAAAAAGTCTTACCTTTGTCTCGGATGATGTTCAAAAACAGCCTTAAGCATTGAGAATCAATGACTGAGGGGCAACTTTGGTGGCAAAAATATGGTCGACTATCGTTCAGCCGAAAACGAAACTGTTGTCTTAAAAAATTCAAAGCTATTTACAGCCCATACCTCCTGAAAAACACGAAAGCATTTAAAAAAAACCCTTGAATCTACGCATTATAAGCTAATAAAACATTTGCTGATCCCATTTAACCAAACAAAATTGCAAAAAATATATTATTCAAAATAAGGAATTTACTAACTACGGAACAACTTTCGATTGTAGAAAAAACACTTCGAAAAAATCCAGGCAATAGAAAGAATCTGCTTGAAAAGCGTACCACATAAGAGAAAAAGCATTTGGAAGAAAAAACGGAAAAGGAGCAAACAGAAATAAGGACAAAAACCACACATTCGAAAACATAGCCAAGAGACAGTTGGAAAATGGTCAATGAACACAAATGACTTGTTTTTTTCTAAATCTCAATTTTCGAATTTCAAAGCAAAAACAAGATAACCTTAAGCTCTTTGAATCTTTGGATTTCTAGAACAAATTGACAATTTGATTGTCACTTTTTGAAACAATTAACCCATCTTGAGAAAA